TTGTTGAATTTTAAATTTGTGTTTGTAAATTATGTACATTTAATTAAGTTATTGTTAATTATCTATTGGTTTAATGTAAATGGCTATTGTTACTTACCACCGTACTTGACTCAATTGTCCGTCTCTACCTCTGCCTGTCTGCAATTCAATTATTCACGCCGTCACTTTATTTGCTGGCTTATTACAATAAGAGCGTGCGTCTAGTAAACGCTCGAGCCTTCACGAACGTTCGAAATACTCATTAGTGTTACCAGCGTCACGGGACTTTCGCTGTTGTAACACTGCCCATTCCTTAGTATTGTTCGTCTCGAAAGTGCGTGAATCGTTCGTTGTGAATTATAGCATGTGTTTAACGTAGAACTTCTTTCCGAGAAACTTCAGCGATACAAGTCTTTTCTTAAATAAAACTAGTTTATTCTTTCTCACTTCAACTTTGCAATACATTTAATTTCTACAGTTGCTTTAACTTAAACTGAAGTTCCTTTGGAAGAATTTTTACGGGAAATTAACAAACGACCAGAGACGTAACAATATTTTATAATTTGCATAGCATTTTCAGCTTTCTACAAATCACACCTAAATAATAATTGTCTTTTTTTTTAACTTTTAATTTCATTTGAAACCGGCAGGTAGCGCTAATTATACCTTCTTCAAGACGAAAGGAAACGAGTGTTTCTGTTTGGGTTAAATTATTTTGAACTTAATTAATGTAATATTATATTATTTTTTAACAAAATGTCTGGTTCATATAGATTTCAGAATTTCTTCAACACTTTATACTACAGACTGTAGGTTCTTAAATTTATAGTATTGTTAACACATCTAATAACAATAGTGTCTTGTAAGAGTAATGTAATCTAATAATACTATTCACACTAAAAGTGAAACTAATAGTACGTATTAGACAATGAATCTTGAGATTCTGTAAGCGTAACGAGGCTACGGTCAAACAAATCGCATGAAACTTAAATATTACACAGGCAAAAATTAACATATATGATATAGCAATATAATATATATAACTATTCAATCACAGTTGAGTTTAATTTCTCCTATTTTTGTCTGTTAACATTCTAATTCTACTACATTGTGTGCCTGTGCTATTATTGAGTGTTATGTAGGGATGATGCAAATTCCATCCCTACTAGTACCATTTTGTTTGCATTGTTTTTTGAAAGATTGATATTACAATTAGCCATCCCTACATTTACTTCCTTTTTCAGTTTTTGGCTGTCACATTGGCTGTTCTTGTACATTTAAATTCAATAATAAAGTTTAAAGTGTTTGCCTGTGTGAAAACTAACAAAAGATAGTGAAGGAGAATTTTTTTTTAGCACTTTCTGTAATCCTACATGTATTCACCTGCTTATTACAACAATTGTGCTGTAACTGGAGAGTCTTGATAGTTTGAGCAACTAAGAAACTTGCTGTTTACACACATTAATATTTCTGTTATTAGAAAACTAATAAATTGCTTTAAAGTTTTGAGTTTTACCAAAAACTAGGGAGTACTATCTGTTTGTTATAGTACTTCTTTATGTGTTTTAGGTCAGAACCAGAAAGACAACATTTGAGGAATGTATACAGTTGTGTAGCATTATCCACCTTTGTTGCTGCAGCTGGAGGATATATTCATGTCTCAACAGACTTTTTGCAGGTGTGCTGAATTTTCTTTTATAATTTCATTTAAATGAAGTCCAGTGAAAATGAACCATTGTTACTAGTGAAGTGCCTCAGGGAATCAGTGGCTGGGAACTTACTTTTTCTTATTTACATAAATGATAGTAATAAGGGCATAATTGATAAATTATTAATGTTTGCCGATGACATTAAACTTTGGGTATTTCTAGCTTGGTTGAGGTACTACAGAATGATCTGGATCGATTGAAAAATTTGACGAATATTTGGAAAATTACTATTAATTATAGGAAGTGTAAGATAATTATATACCTTAGTGTTACATCAATGGTGGGAAGAGTTTTGTAAAGCCTGATAAAAGATGCTTTGTAAATTAATTTAACAAAGTGCAAAATTTTTAATATTCAACATGGTTTCACTAAAGGAAAGCCTTGACTTACTAATCTTATAACATTCTTTTAAGAGGTTGCTGCTTAAGTAGTTAAGGGTGTGAATTTAGTATATCTGGCTTTTCAGAAAACAAGGGAACACGAATATAAATTTTGGCACAGTAGGAGTCATCTTCAGCTAAGACAGTTTTATTTTATTATCATGGTAGGTGATTTTTGGCATGGGTTGCTTTCAGATGTGATGGATGTTGTAAATTTAAATGATAAGGGCTGGGTTTGAGGGTGTTTTTGTTATTATCAGGATATATGTAATTTTCTTTTATTATAATTTTTTTTTAATTTAGTGAATCTTGACAGTCTTTATAGACCAACAGGCCCTTTTTGCTCTTAAATGTTATATTGTGTAATATATTTTAGTTTTTATAATTTCGATTACATTTCGAGATGGGAACCCAGTTGACAGAAAAGGATGTTGGCATAATGGTGGATAAGTCACTGTTACTAGTAGTAAAGCTAATAGATTTAGGGTGTATTTAGAGACAATTCTTGCATGACAAAAGAGAATTCTCTATATACAAATTACTAGTTAAGGTCTCACTTAGAACATTGTGTGCTGTTTCAGTCTGCTTATCTAAGCAAGGATATTGAATAAGGGTGTAGAGTAGGTGTACTAAGTTAATTCTTAGAATTGAAGGGAAAGGGTAAGATTTTAACCTATTTTTCTTCTGAAAAATAGAAGGGCAAAAACTGATCTTAACTTTTCAAGATTTCCTGAGGAGCAATAGAATGATGGCTTCTGATTTCTTTGTACTATAATCTGAAAACAATAGGATAACCGTATACAAGTTTAAGGTTTGGAAAATACAGGCTAGGCTCTAGTTCAGATAGTTTTATTTTTCTAACAGGGTGAGTGGATTATGGAATGAGTTGCTATAGGCATTATTGGAAGTCAGCTCCTCACAAGAGTTTAAAAAGCAAATTGGTGATTTCAATAAAATGGCTGAGAAAGTCACTAGGGGGACATTCTGAGCTTCCAATTGGTTATTCATATCATATATATATAGAAGTAAGTGTATATAAAAAGGAGTGTTTCCAAAAATGGAAAGAGGTGGGCGGGGTGCCACTGTGTTTGATTTATTACATGATCAATAATTTAGCAAATTGAAAAGATAGGTTCTTTTTTTATATTCTAGCTTGTCAATATTGGTAATTTGAGTTCCTAATTCGTATGAAACTATAGACTTAGTAGTTTGACACCACAAACATCTAATTTGAACCAGTGCTGCATTCAACATACCACGTGACACACAGAAATTGATGTTTAACTGTGTTTTTTAATATTTGCTTTAAAATTAAGAAATTGAGTAAGATACAATACTAAAATTTTAATTATAATCTACAGTTTGATACCAAACTTATTGACATAAATTCATGAAATAGAAGTTCAATAAAATTTTGAATGCAAGTCAACAAATGCAGTGACATGGCCTTTCATCCGTGACCCGTCTGGAAAAGGTTAATCCCATTGCTATGCATATGTTATGTTAAATAAGTCAAGTATTTCTATATAATTAATTTGTTTTGAATTACTGTTACAAATATATGTATAATACATGAAGCTACTGTTTTATATGCCTTTAAGGAAATTTATGGTAATAATAGAGATATATTCAGACTGCTAATTGTTGCTATAGTTATAAATAGGCTTATTGTTATAGGGAACTAATTTTTTGAATTGGTTCATTTTTCTTGTTACACAAAGTGGTCTTTGGGAATTTCAGGAATGTGTTATTTTACATGTAAAATAACCTATTCATAAAAATGCTGTTTTAGATTTATTTTTAGGACTGAGGAGGATGTGATTTTAATATTTGTTTGCGGGAGCATTTAACTATATTGAAAATAGGAGGAGAGTGCATCATAAAATTTATGAAAGTGAAGGATTATTCTGTTTTTAAAAAAATTGAACCCTATGAGGTGTTTCATACAAAATGAAACATTGACTATGGTTTTAGTACTTGAGTTATTTTGCAAAACTTACTGTATGTTAGGAAAAATTTATAATGTTTGAAATACTCTAACATGTCTCCAATATATATAAATAGAAGGGGACGAGAGAGGTTCCTAGAAATTATAGGCTTCCGTATGAAATTTTGTAAGCTTTAGACAGGAAAATATGGAAAATAATTAGTGATAATTAAGATTTAGTAAACACCACTCCATGTGGTTCTTGGAAAGGGTTTTCTGGCCTTCCCAACCTGCAAAAGTTCTTTGATAAAAAATAATTACTGTTTTTTTAACGAAGACTTAAAACTTTTGTATAAATAGCTATAAAAAAAGTTAACAAGATTTCTGGGATCTACTTAAAGATATTTTAAATTTAAGAGAAAAAAGTTATTATTATTTTGTTTTGGTTGAAGACTTTGGTGAGGTCTTACAGAAGTGTATGTTAAATTTTGATCTTCTTGTATGAAAACAAACTAGAAAAAAGTGCAGAGAGATGAGCTACTAGGGCAGTGCTTGGTTTAAAAATGATTAGTTATGAGGTTGGGAAAAAGAATTAAAATGTAAGTTGTTGTTTTTAAATATAGAAAACTATAGATGACTTAAGTTGTAAGTGGTTTTAGCATCATGTAGGAGATCTATTTGAGTGATGGAATGTTGAGGCTGAAAAGGGAAACTTCAAAATCTAGGTATAAGTTTGTTCTTTGACAGAAGTTTTACTATTTCAAAGTTTTAAGTATGTGGAGTGTTTTTTTGTTTTCTTTTTTCTAATAATGTAGAATAGTGTGTTACTTTAAAATACACTTGTTGGATAGGTATATGGGTTAAAAAGGCTGCATAGAATTGTTTTTATATTAAATTATTTAAAGAAAAAGGTTTTGAAATTGATTTTCTTTTCTCAGCTAAAACTTTGTGTGTTCCAGAAGTAACAAATTTGTGTTATCATTAAAATAACATTAATGAAAGTAAAGTAGATATAGAATGTTTTATATTAGGTTTTTCATATACTTTTCAGGGAGGAATGTTGAGTAGTTTGATTTCCTTTGCTTTTCTGACTGCCTTAGCAACAACGTCATACAATGGCAAGAACACCACCATCAGATTAGGATTTCTCTTGGCTTTTGCCTTTTGTGCAGGTAAGTATTGTAGAATCTTGTTTCCTATTCTAATTTTTAATGTTACATTTTACATTTATTCATTTTTGTCAGTTTAGATTTATTTTGCCTTCTAAAAAGTGATTGAAATATTTCATTTTCAGGACTTAGTCTGGGTCCACTTCTAGAGATTATCATCATGGTAAATCCTAAGGTCATTCCGTCAGGATTTCTTGCTACATCTGTTATATTCATCTGCTTCAGTCTTTCTTCTATTCTGAGTGAACAAGGGAAATGGCTTTTCATTGGAGGTTAGATTTTATTTTATGTAGATCATCTGTAGGTTTTAATATAGCCATTGTATACATCAACCAGACTTCATAAGAGCAATTATTCCAGATTATTTTATCAGTACTGAAAGATAAAAGAAGAAATATTAATGGTTTTATTTATTCAATGTTATATTTGGAGATTTATGAAAAAAAAAAAAAAGCAAACATATTGATCTCTTATTGAGAAATAATTTAGAAAACTGGAAAGAATTTACAGAGATAAACCTGAAATATTGAAGAATTAAAGTTAGTTTTGCATAAATTAAGTCCATTTTGATTTTTAATAAAATCTAGTACAATTGTATTCTTGCTATAAAAATTTATGTAGAAAAAAAGAACTCCTACATAGGCTGAGTACATTATATTAACCCCCATACTAGGTCTGGCTCTTTTGCATGTGTTACATTTTACAGTGTTACTTTCAAAATTTAAACAACTTTATTATCAATGTACGTCAAGGAACTTGGCACGAAACATATCTTATAATTCAAGTTTGTATATTTTCTAAGTTTTAACTTCCTAGTTTCAAAACAAAATATTTATAAGATTTCTAATCTTCATTTTTCTGTTTCATGTGACATGTCTGAGCTCCTATTTCTCCCTTTCAGAATTCTTTAACATTGAAATTTGGCTGCTGCATTTCCAACAAATTAGAAACACAAACTATACATAATTGCAATTAAGAATCTAGAATTTAAATCTCCTACCTTCTTTATTTGCTGAAAGATCAATAAATTTGTCAAACTCAATAGAGAAGCCCCCTCCAATCTGTCTCTGACTTTTGAGATTGTTTGATAATCAACTTTACAAGGCTGATGAATATGTATATAAACCAATAGAAAGAGCAGATTCTCCTCAACATAAATATTATAAGTCAATGTTTAATTTTCCTGCCATATACTAATTATTCAGCAGAATTGTTTAATTTGTGGTGACCATGTTTTGCTGCTTAGAAAATTAATTTTGTTAACCTGTTTATAGCTTATTTAGAAAACCAGAAAATTATACTTCTCTTGTGACATTCTGTTCTAGTGAATTATATATTTTTGTATTTTAAAATGCATATTTGAAAGCTACATGAATTCTCTTTTGGACATCAAATTTTTGAGACTCAAGAACACCTACTCAGGTGCAAACTGCTCAAGTATGCTGTGAGTTATACAAATTCTTATTTTTATGTATATCTTTTATTTATACTATATATTTTTTTAACAAAAATATATAAATTTCTCAATTTATCCTAACAAAACTCCAATAAAATAAAAAGTTTAAAATTACACTAGCTCAAGCATGTATCACATGACACCTCACAGTCATACAATGTTTACATGAGCTGGACAGAAAACAACTAACAAGCTTCTGTTGAGACTTGTTGCTCTTACAAGCAGTACTTGATACAAAATACAGCAATAAAAATGGGGGAGCAGCAAAGATCTGTGGTTTGTACTTTGGACTCATAGTCAGATAATTGCAAGTTTGAGGCTGGTTCACATATTGATGTTGTTCCCTCAAGCAAGACACTTTACTGCAATTATTTTACTCTACCCAACTGTACCATGAGTACCAGTTGTTAGCTGGGGGTTAACTGTGAGTGACTGACATCCTACCCATGGGGAATGTGTCACCACTCTCACTTGCTTGTACCAATTAAATCAGAGTTCACCACCATATTCTTTGCAATAGCTCCCCATGAGAGGAATTTGACCTAAGAGCAATAAAACTATAAAAGTAAAAGAAAGCAGATCTGAAAGCATTTAAAGATGATGATAAATAATTTGGGTCTTTCTGATTAATACCAGTCAGTGCAAAGAAAAAAATGGTATTATTAATTTTATTTCATGTTTTTCAACTTTCATTTCATTGTACGTTGATGATTTCTCTATAGTTAGGGTAGGAAAAATAAGAGATATAACTTGTGATATGAATTTAGGACATCCTAGATGTTATGCAAATGAAGTATGAAAATTGTAAGTTGAAAATAAATATTTTTATTCTTAGCATGAAAATCCCCTTTCTTTAATTTATTTACCACCCCTCTTTGAAGTACAGAATTTACTCATTATGATATAGATATTCATGGACAAATCTTTAGCAAAAATACTTTATTAGAAATTCTGATTTTTTGTGATGTTTACTGAAAGCTTACCAAATTTTGTAAGGATACATGTATCCTGTTAAAAGTTATAGTATGGAAACTGATGGTTACTTTGTGGTTACAAGGTTGGTCATATCAACCAACCCTGTATGAAAAGAGTTAACTATAAGATAAATACTTATAACCATTATGTCTCACACATTTCTAAATATCACGAAAAACTTGCAAAATTCTTAACTTTTCCTACAATACACTACATATGCAAAAAATCAACTAAGATAGCTTTTGACAGCTGTACAGTTTTAAGTATACTGTTTGTCAATAATGTATTATACAAGATTCTTTCCTTGTGCATTTATTCTTAGAAAATGCCATGTAAACTATTATTGAATAAAAGAATTAAATTACATAATAAATGAAAAATATCTAGCTTACAAGTAGAGCTGGGTGATTAGTAGAATTTGACAATTAGTCGACTGCATTCAAGTAAATGATTATTCTCAAATGAGACTTGGATAGTTGGAATAATCAAAAGTATTAATAATCAGACACACTTATATTGATGAATTGTTTGTTTTTTTTGTGAATCGTGACATTAATCAATTGAGCTGAACAACCTTGAATCAATCAAGAAAATAACAAGAAATCATAACAGCAATATTTTGATTATTTGTATAGATGAAATACTTGGAAAAACTAGTTTCAATTAATCTGTTATTTTATGTGATACTAATCGATACTCATAGCTAGTGGATTATACTGATTAATTAAGTTAATTACCCAGCTCTAGTTTCAAGAATATGAAATTTAGAAGTAAAACATTGGATGCTTTCAGTAATGGTGCTTTATTAGTATATGTTGTTGTTTATATTTATACTGGTTGTATATGCAATACAGTTACTTTATAAGTATTTGGACTGCTAATACTTAATTGTGGTTCATCATTTGAGATTCCTCCCAGTAACTCAGTGGTAAGTCTGAAGGCTTATAATGCTAAAACCTAGGTTTCAATACTCAAGGTAGGCACAGCACAACACAGATAGTCCATTGTGTTTTAACAACAAACAAACATCATTCAGGGTTCTAAGACAGATGGTAAGTGAAGTCAGTGTTGGCTAATATTTTTATAATTTTTTTGTTAATATGGAATTTGATAATGATATGTAATGCAATTTGTAAACATTATTATTGAATCAACCTATTTTTTTCTAATTGTTGGGAATGCATATGCCTTTATTTAGTTTGAAATAAATACATTTAATGAACATCAATGTAATGATAATTCATGTTTTATTACAGGCAGTCTCTTTTCACTTTTGTCTACTGTGGCTTTAATGCATCTTGTAAACATGATGGTTGGGTCAACATTCCTTTTTCAGGTAAGGATTTGAAAAGAAGCTTTTAACTTTACAATAATTTCATGTAGGATTTTAATAGTATTATTTTTACAAATGCAGGTTTGACACAATTAAGATAAGTATTTTTTATTACTTGTTAATTTCCTTTCCCCACAAAAATGTGAATTTCAGTGAAGAAAAGATGATGTAGAGGCTAAATCTATTCTTTGATTTGCTACTACCGTTGCAGAAGACTAATTTTACCAATTTCACGGTTTATCAGAACTGCTTGGAAGACAAAAGCAAAGACATTAAGTAGGCCTCTATTTAAGAAAACTGATTAAGCACTGATTCAGCTAACATTGACTTAACATAAAAAATATACTAGAAATAGAAGTTATTAACCTTACATCAACTGTTATTATGTGTACCTGTATGCACTTAACTGCTCCTATTTCCCATATTTTTGAAAACATGGTTTGTTAGAACTTTGTAAAAATTTAAAATTAATTCATTTTGAAAGTTGGCTGATATTCTGCACTTTTCAAATACTAAATCAAACTATAATATACAGAAACTATTTTCTGCAGGTGTGGGTACATACAACTAAAATTTAAACATTCACAAAGTTGCTTCAGGCTGTGCATTAAATGATGACAAAATATTTTAGCTCATTGAGGTTTAGGCTGCTTACAATGGTTATCAATTCAACAACATGCATGAATAACTTGTGGGGGAGATTTGGTTTATAAGCCAGCTGGAAGTACTAGTACCAGCACCGTATTATTGTTATATTATGTTATTCATGTAATTAGATCTAAATCGAATTAATAACAAACTGATCCTGTATAATCTTTGTAAACAAAAACTGTTTGGTGCTGCCACATATGTATATACTGATAACTAGTGTATCACTTGGCATTACAGTTCACCTTAATATAACATGCTTAATATGTTAAATCAGTTAGTGTTACCCCAAACAAAAAGTTAAGGTAAAAATAACTCTTTTAGTGATTCAGTTCAAGCTTCTTTCAGAAGCAAAAAAATGGACATCTTTCTGGTGTGTCTGATATTGTGTTATTCATATTCTATTTTCTGTATAGCGGAATAGTAAAAATTTGGTATTTGCTCTGCAACTATACATCACATGAAGTGGCTAAATTTATGAGTAATTGATATTAAATGATAAAAACCCTATAACCTGAGTGCTTTTTATCATTTTATATTAAGACTTCTTGAACCCGTACGTTTTTCTGATGTCATTTATGAGTAACTGTTCATTGGGGTATGATTCAAATTAATTATTTCATGGTAATGCAATAAGAATAATCATAAGTAATAAGATAATTATGTCATCTTGCCTTAAAATGTTAGTTTTTAAGACTATCTGTTTTGTACAAAGTATGTATATTTTTTTAGCCACAAAGTTTTCAATTCTATATGTGCTTTCATTATGTCTTTCATTTGTGTTTAAAAAAGGTATTTTCACCCTTTTAGGTTAATCTCTACATTGGTCTCGTTGTTATATGTGGCTTTATTTTGTACGATACTCAGATGATAATAGAGAAACAAAGAAGTGGTGAAAGGGACTTCATCTGGTAGTGTGTTATTCAACTCCATCTGTCCAAGTTAACATATTTAGCCATATAACTTTTTCTAGTTAATATTTTGTTCTTTGATGAGGCATGAAAAAAGAAATACTATTAAAGAATATAAAAATAGTGTATTACATATAAGAGTAATGTTTTGGTCTTTTCATGCAGTTCTGAGTAGTTTAATATGTATATTGTTTTTGAGCACCTATACATAAATTATTTCTGTTATTTAAAATTACTAACAATAATTTTTAATTTTAAAGTTTATTATAAAACAATTATATATCTTCCTTTAAATTTTTTGTAGTACCTTGTCCAGTTTTGTTTTTTTAAATCAAACTCATCTGGGAAAGTTTCTCTCTCTCTACTGTTGACTATTGTAAATATTGGCAGTTCTACCAAAGCAAATGGAAGTGTAATTGAAAAAAAGTAAAAAAGTTTTATAAGTTTTCCAAGACTTTTCAGCATCATAAAATGAGCTGGCATATCAAAAATTATGGTTTTTCAGTTTTATGTATATATATATATGTATGTATGTATGTATGTGTGTGTGTAGGTATATAAATAAATAAATAGCTTTCAAACTGTTGATTATATCAATTGTTATTAGGTGATTGAATCAGCACTATAAAACAATAATGAATTAAATATTACGTTACT